CACATGCGACATTTCCACTGGCACCGCACGCCCGTTCGTGCCGAAGTCCTTCCGATGCTCAGTGTTCGACTCTCTGCATAACCTCTCCCATCCCGGAATCCGCGCCACACAAGCATTGGTGAAAGCCCGATATGTGTGGCCGGGCATGAACACGAACATTCGAGATTAGGCTCGCACATGCACCCAGTGTCAACGCTCTAAAGTGCAGCGTCACACTGTTTCTCCGCTCTCTCCATTTCTGCCGCCCGATGCCCGGTTCAGCGAGGTTCACATTGACATTGTGGGACCTCTGCCGCCCTCACAAGACTGTTCCTACATACTCACTTGTGTGGATCGCTTCACCCGCTGGCCGGAGGCTATCCCCCTGCGAGACATGTCCGCGGAAACCGTCGCTAAGGCGTTTCTGCAGACGTGGATTGCGCGCTTCGGTACACCTTCTAAGGTCACAACCGACCGTGGTCGCCAGTTCGAACCTGCCCTCTTCAGAGAGTTCCTAACGCTCTTGGGAACACATCGGATTCGCACCACCGCCTATCACCCCGCAGCTAACGGCCTGGTGGAGCGGATGCACCGGCACCTGAAGGCATCAATCACCGCTTACGGCGAGCCCTCACGCTGGACCGAAGTGCTGCCACTCGTCCTCCTGGGCATGCGCACAACACTCAAGAGTGACCTGCAGTGCACCAGCGCTGAGTTGCTTTACGGCACTACCCTGCGGCTCCCCGACCAATTCGTTGCAGCCAACGTAGACGAGCAGCTTCCAGATCCCCTCCAGTACATGTCACGCTTACGGACAACCATGGACAGCCTCCGTCCGACACCAACCCGTGCTAAACAGAGTCCTACCGTGTACCTGTTTAAGGAACTTGACACTTGTACCCATATATTCTTGCGCCGCGGTGCTGTGAGAAAACCCCTCCAGCCGCCGTACGACGGCCCGTTTAAAGTCATTCGTCGTGGTACGAAACACTACACAATCGAAGTGCGCGGGCGACCAGAAGTGGTTTCGGTGGATCGATTAAAGCCGGCTCACCTCGAGCATTCAATCACCACTCCAACTAGTGCGGCGGCGAGAAATTCTGCAGACTCTCCGACGACGCGTGGTGGACGAAGGGTTCGTCAACCCGTACGATTTGTGCCGTAACGATTTGTGCATGTATTAATTTAATTTTTCAACATTTCTGGAAGGGGGAGTAGTGTGGACATCGCACGTCTAGTTTCGGTTTCGCCACACGTTTAGTTTCGGTTTCTCCTCCGGCGTCTGGCAACTAGAGCCTGCTGAGGTATGCCGCCGGAAGGCGCGGGCGTTTGAGTAAACAGTTTCGAGTGACACTTTCGGGATCGGAGAGACACGCCCGCACGGGGCTAACGCGCTCATGTATTGCTGTACCTTGTGTAGTAAAGTATAATAAATAGTTTTATGTACCGGACATCTCCACAACACGACTTTCATTTTTAATACCTGTTTTAGACTGGATCGCGATTTTCATTAGTGTAATATTTTGGCAGTGCTCGTATTTAGTCTCCGTAAATCGATATCAGTCATTTATTTGTGTTCGACCTTTGACCGGAGTTAACCTTTAATGGGTTAAGAATATTTTGTTTATTATGGTGCCTTTATAAATCCGACTCTTCTAAATTTTTGAAAAGCAAACACTTACGTCGTTATCTTCTTCATATGGGCATCATCAATATTTAACGCATTAGCTATATCTGAAAAAAAGGAAAGAAGTAATAGTAGTTCATTGTTTACACAGAATACAATACAGGTACTGAGTTGTCTCCAAGGAGGGGTCATCTTCATCATCACGCTTTGGGGGAAGGAGGTTAGGAAAGAAACATTTTATTTTCATGTTGCACAGCCAGTCAATTGCTGCTCTTCGTGTAAGCAGCAGAAAAGATTAATATTTTTGTCATTTTTACAAGTTTTGCTTGGCTATTCGCTAACCGCTTTAAAGAGACTGGGGGTGGGGTGGACTTTTTGCGTGCTCTGCGGCCAGAAAAACCAGCAGAATGTTTTTTTGTTGTTGTTGTTGTTTTTAGTAAAAAGCTACACACGCAATATTTTTTGTGCGTTAGTGTTTTTTACTTTATTTTCTTGTGACATTGCGCATTGCGTCTAGCTCCCACACTTGCATCTGTATGTGAGCTGTTTGCATACTTTCACACAAAAAAACTGAAGCGCGCACCATCTGTAACCGAAAATGTTGATATTTGAAACATAAATGTACCTCTGTTGCCCTATCCCTCCGTTTAACAATGAATGCGGAGTTTTGGTTCTGGGCATACTTCGCTTTGCTGAGTCTCCCGACTGTCGTGCCAGAGAACTCCTCTTCCGAGTTCTTTGTATGCAGGCTGTATTTGGCCTTCTTGCATCATGAATAACGATAACGTCACGACTCTTTTCCTAAAGCGCCGTTATATGGTCATTTTACTGCAGCAGCCCGCCATTAATTATCTGAAGATAGCCGGCTCTTATCTATCAAAGGATCAGATGTACTGCGTCCGCCAGTCCCGGATAGTAACCGAAAGTAGTATACACATATGGTACGGCGAATCTCAACTCCTGGTATAGCCTTCTCATACTAACCAAGCCTGGCAGTTCGACGACGGAGCCATAGGGTGCCCGGTCAAAGATTCGGAGCGCGAGGATCTGGTAGCACAGAGTATGAAAGAGCTATTTTTAGGGAAACCTAGACGTCAGCGCACAGCTTTTGCAGCGGCTAGGACCCGAAACACAATTGTTCGCTCGGGAGAAGTGTGTTTCGGCGCTCGACGTAGCGGGGCGCCAGTCACGTGGCTCTCCTCTCATCCATTGTCTGCCTCTCCACCTTTTCCCTTTCGGCAGCCGCTTCTATACTCCGTTCCACCTTCAGTCCGAGCGCAGTGGACGCCACGAGCCATACCAGCCGATCCAGCGCCGAGAGAAAGTCGCGTGACCTGCCGGTGGGGCGGGGCGACACAGGGAGCTCAAGGTCGCATGACACTCCCTCAACGCCGCATTGGCTGGGATGGCTCCTAGCGTCCGCTGTGCTCGGACGGAAGGTGAAACGGAGTATAGTGGCGATCTGCCCGGGGGGGGGGGGGGGGGAAGGGGGGGGGGGGGGGGGGGGGGCTTTTGGCCACCTTTTTTTTTTGCCGCCTCGAACTTGCCCTGGTGGGGGCGCGTATTCGGAAAAGCATGTAGAGTAGATTACGCTGTAACGCATACCTCATCGAATATGGGGCTGCGTTAGAGCGTGCTGGTTTGCCTAACCTGCACCGGCGTCGGGAGAACGCGGACATATTGTTGTTTAGAACGTTGCATGGCCCGATTGGTTCTCCGAGCCGGTTATTTAAACTGTGCGTTTGAGCTCCACGTGTGCCTGATCGGCTTCCGTCATCTGAGTATGTTTCCGGAACTTTTAGTCCGGTAAACCCAATCGTTCGAATTAGTGAGAGTTTCAACCACTATTCTGACAAACTTTATATTTTCCACCCATGCTACTGGACCTTTGTTCTTTCTATTAATAACTTGCCTGTGCCAGTTGAGCATTGTTGAAGTATGTCTAAGTCTACTTTAAACGGACATTTTGATGAGGCTTTGGTTTTTCCTGTCTGTTCCTTGGCTGCCATTACTGGCTCCTGTTTTTGTTTCTACTTCTCACACGTATACCACCTAGTCTTATGATTAAAAATTATATGATTCTGTTTTATTATAGTGTATAGTGCATTACATTTCTGCAATTTATTTCGTTATATGTTTTTAGTGTCCACCAATGTGCCAGCACCAGAACCTCAAAGTTGTTTTTTGGCACTGTATAATAAAAATTTATTGATTGATGAATTGAATAATGTTACATTGTTACTATTTAGAGATGTGCGAATACTGAATTTTTTGTTCAAAGCAGCTACGAAGCGTATAGTTCCTTGGTATGAATAGTTTCGAATCGAATTGATCAATTTTGAAGCGAAGCGAAGAGTTTGTTGCCGTGAATACAAATATAAAACAAAAATCTTGAGACTAGGGAACAAAACAAATTAACCCGGACAACGTCTAAAAGGTAGTTCCCCAGCTCGCCTTCAAAGTTATTCTTATTTCAATGCAGTTATGTATCATTAATATTAACTCTTCCGTCGCCCAGAAAAATCGCCCACAGTGTGAATCGTGCATAATAGTGAACCAAAGTCAAGAACAGAAATAATAAACAAGAAGCGTGGCCACAAAAAACACGGTTTATTAGGGGAAATATGCTGAAACTTATTTGCACAGGCACTTTGTCGTTAGCTATTAGAAACGCAATCCGCATAATGTTTAAGAGAGTAGACTTGTTGGTTCTATTTTTATTGCTACTTGTGTTCCAGCCTTGATTTGTGGATTCATTCCAAAAACGTAATGTATACTGGTTTAGTTCATTTTGTTTTATTTACTTATTTTTTTAGTCAGAATGAAGGTATGTTTCTTTAGCATTTAAAACTTCCAAATACTTCGGAAGTATTATAAGTTGCCGAATAGCCCTATTCGACTCGAACTTCGAATAGAATATGAAATTATTTGCTTCGATATTCCAAAGTTTTGAATATTCGCACAACCCTAATACTATTATTATTATTTTATGTATTATTTAGCTTAATTTTGAACTGATTGCATTGCGCTTTTTTTTTTTCTTTTTACTTTGTCTCTCTTTAAAAAGGGGTCATTAGTTTACATTCGCGGAGGGAACAAAAAATATAAAAAAACTGTGGTCAATAAACGTGACGTGGGACTAGAAAAATTCGTTAAGACTGCATCTTAAGGCTGAGTCACTCACGTGCGTTTCACGACGACCGACTACGCCACATCCGGTTGTAAGCCTCTTCTAACTCCTGATAACTTGTTGCGCTATCACAAGAGGTTTGAAAACCGGTTATGGCATAGTCTGTCGTCGTCACACGCAAGTATGAGCATCAGCCTTTAGGTATTCCCATGGGGTGAACAAACGAACCGGCGAAGGCGCCATTTTCTACTATACACGGCTGACGATCTCACAAGTGACCGACGGCTTCGGCTTCCCGGGGCCGAACTTGCGCACGTAGAGGCTCCTCATGTAGGTGTAGTGTATCTCGTGCACAGTGGCGTCCACCAAGGGCACCATGATGTCCAGAGTGGCGCTGTTCTTGAGCACCAGCGTGATGACGAAGGTTGCGGCCGTGTAGCCGGCCATGATGCTGCGCAGTGACTGGCCGAACCTGAGCAGCACCCACAGCGCAATCCGGTGGTGTAGGTCGGTCGCTTCGATCGCCACGGACATCATGATCGCCGCCATCGTCAGGAGCACTGTGCTCTGCGGCCGACAGGGAGACACGCACTCTCGTTCACAAACCAAAAATCAATTTTTATTTTTTTTAGCGTTGAATGTTTGTTTTTTGTAGACTTTTCCAAAAAAGGGCTCTCGGTTGGTTCCATTTTCAGTGTTCGTGCGTATGTCGCGTGATTTGCCCGCTTTCCGAAGCGACGAACATGCGCGTGCTGGGCTGGGGGCATCGCACTCTGGGCTGAGGATTGAAAGGACGAACATGCACGTGCTGGGCTAGGGAGATCGCATGCCGGGCTGAGGACTTGTAAATAATGGAACGGTGTATAGGAGCGTTCCTTTCCGACTTCTTTCCTCTAGCTCGCCAGACACCATATTCAAGGCCAACAACGTGTCGACGCTAACCGCTACAACCTTCGTCGTCGGGACGTCCACTTCCAGCCCGGAGACAGTGTGTGGGTGAGGATACCAATCCGCCGCTGTGGTCTCAGCGAGAAACTCCTAAAGCGCTACTTCGGGCCCTATACAAAGTACTTCGTCGACTCGGGGATCTGAACTACGAGGTGATGCCCGACGGAACAAGGACTTCATCACGCCGCCATCCACGACCGGAAGTCGTCCACATCGTGCGCCTCAAGCCGTACTACGCGCGATAAGAGTGCGAACTGTGATCTTGTGCAACGCTTGATAGGATTGTGTTTTGCCAGACTTCGTTTTTTTTTTTCATTATTTTGTTTGTTTTGGTCTGTTTTGTTGCCTTTCACGTGGCATCGAGACGGTGCCTTTTTAGAAGGGGGAGTAATGCCACGCGCTTCGGCGAGTGACTGTGTGCGTGGCCGAGTGGTTACCGCGTTTCACTGTCGCGCGGAAAGTCTAGGTTCGATTCCAGTCAGTGGAATGTTCTTTTATTTATTCTTTCAACATTACGTTCTCGTGAGTTCGAGATCATTTTCGTCTGATCGAGTTCTGAATGTTCTAGTCGTCGAACGTTCAAGGCCGATCGTTCCAGAAGCCAACGTGCGTACATAAGGGGCTCCTGGCGATCTGCGGTCAGTCTCACCCCAGCGTTCAACTCTGCTCTTACGCCGACCTCGACGCCCGCGACGTTCCGTTGTTACCCACTGTTTCCTTTTATTTTTGGACACAAGTTCGCCCCATTAAACGTTTAGTTTCTTCAGTTATCACCGCCTCATCCATTGTCATTCGTGACATTTTGGTGGAGGTGCTGGGTTGTCTCTTCACCATACCCCTCTGAGGACCCGTTCGGCAAGCCCCACTCCAAGACGACCATTTGTAGAAGAGACAGGGCCCCGGGCAAGCCAGCGTCTCCGTGGACAACCCTCAGAGCTTGGTCCACTACCGGAAAAGACAAAGAAGCCAACGAAGCCGACGATTAACTCCACGGCCCAGCCAACGGTAAACCCCCAGCAGCACCATCCTACGTCTTCCTGCCTGTGGTTCCCCGTGTGCCGACGTCATTCCACGGTGAAATCTACGAGGACGTAGAAGACTGGCTGCAGCACTACGAACGTGTGGCCCGCTACAACGCGTGGACGGCAGTACAGCGCCTCCATTTACTTCGCACTGGAGAAAACGGCAAGACAATGGTTTGAGAACCACGAGGCTTCCCTCTCGACGTGGGAGACATGCGTGGAGGAGCTAAAGCGCACCTTTACAAAACAACACCGACGTCAACGAGCCGAAGAAATCCTTCAAAAAAGATGCCAAGGTCTGAAGGAGATCGTGACAAGTTTCACTGAAGATGTCCTGCGCCTGTGCGCCCGTGCCGACCCTGGAGCCGCCGAAGACAAGAAACTGCGCGTCCTCATGAGAGGCGTGAAAAGCGAGATTTTTGGCGGCCTCGTTCGCAATCCACCGACGGCCGTGGACGAATTTGTTGCTGAGGCAACGAACATTGAACGAGCGCTGTCGGCCAGGGCGGGTCATTATCAGAGACTCGCCGGCGTAGCTGCCACCTCCTCCCTTCCATCTTCCCTCCCTGACCTCGGCGAAGTCGGTGTCGAGAACCTTCAGGAGGTCATTCGGGATGTGGTTCGAGAAGAACTGAAGCGGTTGCTCCTTTTTCCAGAACGACCCGCCGCTGTTTTAATCGCCGAGGCTGTTCGCGAGGAGGTACACCGGGCCCTCTTGCCAGAGGTCCCCGTCGCAGTGGCTCCCGAACAGCCGGTCCTGACCTACGCCACCGCCGCCAAGAGAGCACCTCCCGTCACAGGACACTACCAGCCAGCTCCCAGTCGTGAGGCACCCGCGCCGCAGTATGCTCCACGCCCAGAGCAGCGTGGTGCGAGAAAGACCGACGTTTGGAGGACGGCCGATCGACGCCCCCTGTGCTACCACTGTGGTGAATTCGACCACATCCACCGACGATGCCCCTACCGCCAGCTGGGCCTAGGAGGGTTAGCGCCCAACGACCTTCGACCACGTCTTGGAGAGCGACCTCCGCACATCGAGGACAACCACCACCGCTATTCTTCTCCTGAGTCGTCTCCCCGCCGAGTATTCCGTTCACCACCTCCTCGACGCCCGCCATCACCCTTCCGCCGGTCTCGCCGAGACAGCCTGTCACCCATCGCTTCCCGTCGGGAAAACTAGGCGCGGCAATGCCGGGAGGTGGTGTTGCCAATAACGAACGATGCCAAGATCCTCCAATATCGTCGGAGCTCTCCCAACTCTAACGCCGCAACGCCCCGGAACGACGTTTCTGTAACAGTGTCGAATAACCTCAACGTTATCATCGACGGCCACGACGCGATGGCACTCGTCAACACCGGAGTAGACTACTCCGTTTTGAGTGGGAGGTTCTCCCGCCGCCTTCGAAAAGTCATGACGCCGTAGGATGGACCTCAAATACGAAACCGTCGGAGGACACCTCATTACACCAGTCGGGGGATGCACTGCTCGCGTCGATAGCCAAGGTGAGACGTGCCCTGTGAAGTTCGTCGTTCTACAAGACTGTTTTAGAGACTTCATTCTCGGCACGCACTTTCTGTGAGAATACGGCGCCGTCATTGACCTTGGTGAGAACAGACTGAGGCTGCGAAAGCCTGTTCCGCCTTCAGAGAAACCCCAAACAGCGTCAGCCGCCGTCCGAGTCGCTGCCGACAAAGTGAACCTGCTGCTGCGATCAAGTGTTGTCGTACCCGTCGTGACCGATGCAGCTACCTTCCGCGAAGTTGTTCTGGAAGCCAACCTTCAATTGCTCCTGGGAAGGGTGAATAGGCGACGCAAGAGGGGTGGCTGAACTTCAGGATGGACGCACTGTGGTCCTCGTGACGAACTTCCGACAAGAAACGCAACACCTCATGAAAGGTGCCGCTGTAGGCCACGTCGAGGAACTTCGGAACTCCGCCGAAATCGCCGCGATTGCTGAAGAATCATCCCCATCTCAGCAAGACATCACGCCGCCAGCGCAGCTCGACATTGACCCGAAGCTTCCAGGCTCGAAACGACGGCAGATGAGTAACCTCCTCGCCGAATACAGCGACTGCTTCGCGACGTCTTTGAGGGTGCGCCAAACCACCGTTGCGAAACATCGCATCGCTACCAAAGACGACGCGCTTCCTGTGCACCGATCGCCGTACTAAGTCTCCCTACAAGAAAAAGAGGCCATCTAAAAGCAAGTGCAAGAAATGCTGAACGACGACATAATCCAGCCTTCAAGCAGTCCATGGGTGTTAAGTAACGAAGGATTTTGTTAGAAATAAGTAAGATTTGTTTTAGAAAAGTCTATCTTTCTACAGTTGCGTCGGCATCGTTTTTTTTTTTTTAGCTTTCTTTGTGAGTGTCGGCGTTTTGGAGGGAGCATTTGCGTGGGCAGAGCGGCCGGGAGGGGGGAGCGGTTTCCCCGCGGTCATTCAGAAACGTCTCGGGTTTCGGGAGTCTGCTCGGGCAGATCCCTTCTTGCAGCTGGTTGTGGCTTTTAGCCGAATGTGCCTGTATATAGAGGGTTTTGCCGCTTAGTGTAAAATTGCCGCTTTTTGCCCGATGCAATAACTTAGCGGTTGGCGCCAGTCAGACTGGAAAAATTGCAGAGAACAACTCTCCAACGAATTTAGGTTTGGCGGTTGGGAAGCCAAGATGACAGCTCGCCGACCATTGGCCGACAGTGTACCACGTGGGAGTGGTGAAATCTGAAGTGATTGGTCCTTCTCTGGAGGGAAAGGAGGCCTCTACGAGGCTACAAAAGGGCTGCCGGGAGGGTTCTCGGGGAATTCGGCTCTTGAGACTGGGGACTAAAGTATGGGGTTTTAATTTTGGAAGTTTTGGTATTACCGTTGACTTGTCGTTTTGTTTTGAAAATAAACGTGGCCACACTGGCCACCGTAAACCTACCAACGTCGTAATGTGTCCAGCAGAATCGAACAATTTTTAGTTTTTTTTTTCTTATTCGACTTCCCGGTGGACTACCATCGGGCGAACACCATCATCGGTCGTCACCATCCTGACCGGGCCCCTTCCCCCTCGGAAAATTGACTGGCGCAGTCGACAGGATCCTGCTGACTTCCTGCGACGGGCGGTGAGCGAAAACGACGGCATCAACGGAGGCAGGCGGAGCGTACCTGGGCTCTATGCGACAAGTGTTTCGTCTGCTGGACTGCAGACAAGGGTCCCGTCTGCTGGACTGCTGACAAGGGTCGCTCCTGCCGGAGTGAGGACCGTGGCAATATCTACGTGAGAAGCCCGGGGGGGGGGGGGGGGGGGGGGGGTGCATTTACCCAAAGAAGTCGTCTGCTGGACTGCGGACAAGGCTCGCTCCTGCCGGAGTGAGGACCGTGGCAATATCTACGCGTCGTACGCGAGAAGCCCGGGGGGGTACAGTT